ATCCTCAGTCCTTCCTTTATTCAAATAATTTGAAATCCTGACATCTACAACAGATAAGGTTGAATGCTTTGCTTGGAAATTCTCTTCCAACTCAACACTCAACTCATTTGGAGTACCCACACCTGATTTCCCCACTAGAACAGAGGCTCTACTGAGTGATATGGGCATAACCACAGCACTGATCTTGGACATCATTTCTAAATTAGACTCCTATAAGGCAAGTAGAGGTGATGGTATGCCAGATATTGTCATAAAGAAATGTGATCACAAGTTGGCTCCAGTTCTCTCCAATCTCTACAAATATTGTGTCACTGCTTCCTGCATTCCTGCTTGTTGGAAGACCTCTTCTGTAGTTCCTGTTTTAAGAACTCTGAGGAACCATCTGACTCCTGCTAGTCTTGTACCGCTTTTCGGCAAAGTATTTTTATTTTTAAATATATATATTTTATCTTATTATATTTTATTTTTAGATATATATTTTAATTTTAAATATAACCTATTTATTTTCTATTAAATATAACTTATTTTTTAAATATAATTTTATTTATTTTTAAATATAAATTATTTAAATATGACTTATTTTTAAATATGACTTATTTTAATATGTCTTATTTTTAAATATATCTTGTTTTTTGAATATGACTTTGTACTTTTAAGTATGACTTTGTATTTTTAAATATATCTTTATGTATATATTTTTTAAGTTTTTCTAATTCCATTTTTATTCCTTAGTTTTAAATTAACATTTCATTCTTCATATAGCTCCAATATAATGTCATAAGCTTAATATTCGGGTTTAATTTTATTAAACCTCTTCCCTTTAAGACAAATACCTTCCACCCTCCCTTGACCCCTGTCTTATGCTTTTTGTCTGACTGAAACATGGAAATGGATAAGTTCTGTATTAGTTTTTTTCAACTGCTTTTTTTTTTTTTTGTAGCTTTCACAGTTTAATTTCTATTTCTGACATGAACTCAGTCTATACCAGGGTTTATAAGACAGACAAATTATATTTTCATCTGTCAAAATATGAGGTGATTTTGAATTTTATTGTGTATTAATTTTTGCTCTGTAATATTGTACATTGAGCTCTTTTTGTGGATCAGTTTTAATTTAATATTACTAGGATCCACTTGGATTATATACCAATGTATTTGTTACCTTTACTCTCTCTCTCTCTCTCTCTCTCTCTCTATATATATATATATATATATATATATATATATATATGTGTGTGTGTGTGTGTGTATATGTAATTCAGAATGGTTTCCTTTTATAATATCAGGACAACTGTCATATCAATGTGTATTTTTCAAAAGAAAATTGTCCAAATTGGTGCATTTGTATGCATTGATTGTTCCATTGAATCTGGGAGAAAGCAACCAATGTTTACATGTAACTAAATACTCCTGCTTCAGATTACCATTTATTCTCGTCTTTACAGAATTCACTTAATGAAAAGAATGAACTTCAATTCTGTAGAAGACTGAAAAAAACAAGTTCTTTGTTGAGAAAGTTCTAAAATTTCTGGGAGGACCATATTATAGAATAGCCTTAAAGGCAGCAGAAAATTTTAGAACAGAATTGTGAATATGTTGTTCCATAAATAAAAAAAAATGTCTTTTATTTTTCTACTTAATAAACTATACAAACTTACTGGCCAACTATTTTATATGCCTACACATATATGGACGCAAATATAGATTTTTAAAAATCTCTATTGTGTATTCATGTTTCAGGCCAAACTGTTAATCTCGACATGAGATCGCAACTTCTAACCTGGCATCTCTTTCCTGGACAGAAATGTTCAGTTCGTTTAATCCTCGTGATTCTTTAATTGGGCAGCCATCTATTTATATGAATGAAATTTTGTTTATCTATTTTTCTTAATGATATTCCAGTCAGGCAGATCACGAGTGAATAGATTCCTTTGCTTCGTAAAGAGCAAATTAATTTTAGCCAAAGATGATAGATATGTATTGGAAGAAGGCCATGTAACAAAACATTATTTCATCTTTCTAGGCCTTTTCCTCTGCACTCTAAATTCGGTCAGGTAGATATGGTCAGGAGCTATGAAATATCAATTAGTGTTCACTTTGTTTCTAATGTCTATAATTACCATACAGATTGATTGATTTCTAGATTATATTTCTGAATGGAATTTTCATTCACTAATTTATTTAGTCTACTGTGATAGGAGAGTAGTCAAAGCTTTGAGTTGGTGACTATGTGCTTTGAGTAGTCATAACTTGAGTCTTGTTAGTTGGATTCTCACAAAAGAGAATGTAAATCACTAATTTAGAAACTAGGGGAAATAAATTGATCGAAAGAATCTTGGATATTATTTATGAATAGTACATGCACTCACATTTCAAACATTAAATCTTTATATGCACATATTACAGAATTAAAAGAATAACTTGTTTCATCTCTATCAATTTAGATGCAAATTAATTTTTAAAGAATAAATGGATTTTTATTTATAATCCAACATTATTTCTTACTACTGTACAATATTTTAATAGATACATGTGTTTGTGTAGACATCTTTTTTAAACAGGGTAAAGCTCTGCATTCTAGAGTATTAATGGAAAAAACTGCCCTGCAGCAGTGTTCAAACCTGCATCTGAAAACCATCATTAAGTCCAGAATACTTTTAAAATACTCAGAGATGGAAGAATCTTTATAATTTTCATGAATCTTTATTTTTGCTTTAATCATTTCACAGCAAGCAAGGCAATAAGGCCACTAAGATTCAAGGGGTTAGTCAGTATGAAAGAATATAAGGAGAAAATATTGTTAAGGAGAGAGAAAATGGAATATAGTAATTGACATTGCATTTAGTTGAATTTAAAGCAAGAAGTTATAAGAAAATTCCACAATTTATTTTAAAATTTAAAAATTTGTTTTTATACTTTATGCAAATAATTTATATCTGGATAATAAAGCAATAAGAGCATTGGTTATAAACTTGAATCAAGAAGATCCTAGCCTCCAAATCATGCCTTTGATATGATGTCCTTTCTAAATGATTTCCTATCTGTAAATAAACTGTTTGAAAGATTTTTTCTGAATTTCAAGACAAAAAATACCGAAGAGTGAAGTGGTCAAAAGAACATCTAACATGGAATATTGGAAACTGGCAAAAATTAATTCTTAGTAATGAATGCAAAATAGAGATGCATTCTAATGTAAGAGAATATATAAGAAAATCAATGAAAGAATGAAACAACACAAAATATGCCACAAAGATGGTAAAATTTGGTGGTGGAAACATAATGGTTTGGGCTTGCATCAAAAGCAATTGTGGAAGAAAATTGGTAAAAAGTTTATGGAAACATAAACATGAAAACTATATTAGTTTACTATGATCTAAACACCTGCTAGACAACAAAGATGAAGATATTTTCAGTATGTTAGTGATTCTTGCTGCATATCATGTGTAACAGAAATGTTTCATGTGGATGCAGATATTCATACTTTGCAAGATTAACCAGGACAAAATCCTGATCTCAATATAATTGAAGCATTGTGTTGGGAAAAAAAGAAACAAATGCTCCAATGGAAAGCACATAATCTTTACTATTGCCAAAAACAATGAGAAGAAATTCCCAATGAGAAAATTCTAACCTTGCTCCATTCAATGCTACATTGGATTGTGGCAATTATTTGAGCCAAAGGAAGCACAGTTCTAATTGCTAACTCCATACTTTGATGCTTTGCACTTTCTGCAATAATAAAGATCATTTCTTGCAAAAAAATTCCTTTTTAACTGAAGAAAAGAGCTGAAAGGTGAAATTTTCATTGTTGGTCCAGTGTTTCTTTATGACCTTTAGTTAGTATCACTATGCTTATGAAGCTTTATCATCTACCATACAACATTAAGAGAAATGAAGTAATTTGTTCTCTGACCATCAAAGATCATAAAATGTACTGAGAAAAGCATAATGCCAATCAATCTTGATTTGGAGATAAAATTAACATAACTAATTAATATATGAAAGTTTTACATGCTGTGTGTGTGTGTGTGTGTGTGTGTGTGTGTGTGTGTGTGTGTGTGTGTGTGTGTGTGTGTGTGTGTGTGTGTGAAAGAAATGGCAATAGGAAAATATTTTATTTCTTTTACTGATATTGTCTTTACAGTTACATTTTATTTATATTTGAATTTATATATATATATACAGTGTATACAGTACACCCCTCACATTTCTTCAAATATTTAAGTATATCTTTTCATGGGACAGCACTGAAAAAATTACCTTTTGACACAATGAAAAGTAGTCTGTTTGCAGCATATATAACAGAGTTAATTTATTTTCCCCTCAAAATATAGCCATTAAAAGCTAAATCCCTGGCAACAAAAGTGAGTACACCCCTAAGAAACTACACCCCTAAATGTCTAAAGTGAGTACTGCTTTTCATTTTCCCTCCAAAATGTCATGTGACTCATTAGTGTAACTATGCCCATGTGTTCATGGGGAGCAGGTGTATTCAAATTTGTAGTGCAGCTCTAACACTCTCTTACCGGTCACTGAAAGTTCCAACATGGCACCACATGGCACCACATGGCAAAGAACTCTCTGAGGATCTTAAATATTTGAAGAAATTTGAGGGGTGTACTCACTTTTGTGATACACTGTATATGTGTGTGTGCATGTGTGTGTGTGTGTGCACCTGCAACCTGCACACCTGCAGTTACATCGATAATATATATAGACCAAAAATAATATCTATGTTCTTACCATAATTTTAAATATGCCAACATTTCTTTTGAAATATTCTTGTCTTGTTTTTCCTGTCTTCCAATGAACGTGGATAAAGTGGAAATAATTTTGCCAAAAATACAAATTATCTCAGGTCATGTTTGTAACATATTAATGTCAGTCTGTTTATTTTAAATCTGAACATGTGATGATAGAAGAGAATTTGTAATTAATGTATATTAAGGAAGATAAAAGATGTAAGAAAGAGAAAGAGAGAGTTAATCATTTTCCTGTTATTTATGTCATTGTTATAATAGAAAATCTTATACTCCATTTAGTGATAGGTACATAGATATTTAGATATGAACCAACAGAGATAGATAGATAGAAAGAAAGAACAGACAGTGATAGATAGATAGAAATAAACAAAGAAAGAACAGACAGTGATAGATAGATAGATAGATAGATAGATAGATAGATAGATAGATATAAACAGACTGATATCGATATATAGATAGATAGAAATGAAGACAGATAGGAATAACGATAGATAGAAATGAAAAGAGCTATATAGATAGATAGATAGATAGATAGATAGATAGATATAAACAGACTGATATCGATATATAGATAGATAGAAATGAAGACAGATAGGAATAACGATAGATAGAAATGAAAAGAGCTATATAGATAGATAGATAGATAGATAGATAGATAGATAGATAGATAGAAATGAACAGACTGAGATAGATAGATAGATAGATAGATAGATAGATAGATAGATAGATATAAACAGACTGATATCGATATATAGATAGATAGAAATGAAGACAGATAGGAATAACGATAGATAGAAATGAAAAGAGCTATATAGATAGATAGATAGATAGATAGATAGATAAACAGATATAAACATAGACTGATATCGATATATAGATAGATAGAAATGAAGAGACATATCGATATATAGATAGATAATGAAGATAGAAATGAAAAACAGAAATGAAAAGAGCTATAGATAGATAGATAGATAGATATGATAGATAGATGAGATAGATAGATAGATAGATAGATAGATAGAAATGAACAGACTGAACAGATAGATAGATAGATATAGATGATGATAGATAGGAATAGATAGATAGAAATAAAAGAGCTATAAATAGACTGATAGATAGAAATATCGATATAGATAGATAGATAGATAGATAGATAGATAGATAGAAATGAAGACATATATAGATAGGAATAATGATAGATAGAAATGAAAAGAGCTATATAGATATAGATAGATAGATAGATAGATAGATAGATAGAAATGAACAGACTGAGATAGATAGATAGATAGATAGATAGATAGATAGATAGATAGATAGATAGAACTGACTGTGATAAATAGGAAAATAAATATGAACTGGCATAGATAAATAGATAAACGTCATAATATAGATGCCTAGTAATGTATAATAATAATATTCAGCATCTCAAGACAAAGACAAAAGAAGAAGAATTCCAACTTGATCCATTTATTCTGATAATACAGATCATTTTATTCTAATATATTTTGTCTTTTTTCTTTCCAACACACTGTCAAAACTTTGTTGTTTTTTGCTTATCAAGAATTACCTTCTTTCCTTAAGCTTTGTGGCTCCTAAGGGACTAAGGTTGAAAAAGGCTGAAATTTAAATGCAAAATAGTTAAATTATTCTACAAGGATGTCAATTATTTTCAATATGTATATATTTAAATTAGGATTATAGCATTTTGAGAAGAACCAGGATGAAATCAACTTTCTTCTCTGTTGCAACTGATAACATCAACATTCCTGATAATAACTAAAAATGTTCAAAATTTCTTTTTTTCTTTTTATGTGTCATGTCCTTTCAGGCCGTAGGCAATCATGGCTCTCCATCTCCCTCTATCCCTTGTGGCTCTCAGCAAGTTCCTTCCCTCTACCATCTCCCCCAGGCCACATCCTGTCATCTACTTGCTCAAGCTTGCTACGTATGTCATGTGTTGTTTTCCTTTGTCTCTCTTTCCTTCTATTCGACACACGAGTATCAGATTCTCCAGGCCCTCCTTCCTCATTATGTGTCCCAGAAACTTCAGCTGCCTCTTTCTGATGTTAAGTATAAGCCTCCTCCTTGTTTGCATCCTCTCTAAGACCTCATCGTTGCTCACACACTTGGTCCATGATATCCTTAATATCCTTCTGTAGAACCACATCTCCGTCGCCTCACGTCTCTTCATCTTTGAGGAAATTGTCCATCATTCACTGCCATAAAGAAGGACAGATATCAGTATTCTTTTCTTTATTATCAAAGAAATCTTCTTGTCTCGCAATACTCTGCCCCGATTTTGGAATGCATCTTTGGCCATCCCAATCCGTCTACGGATCTCAGTTTCGCATTTACCATCCTCTGCCAAAGAAAACATTGTGTACATTGGATTTCTTCTTCTTTTATGTGCCATGTTCCTTCAGGATACAGAAGATCATTGCTCTCCACAACTTCCTATGCTTTCTATTTTTTACTACTACTCCTGTTTTGGGTTCTATCATCCATTTACACAACCTCATTAGGTACAACAACTCATTCTTTCCCACTGCCCTACTTAACTTTATTATGTGCTGTGGGTATTGAATTTTCCAAACCTTCCTTCCTTATTATGTTTCATAGTAATTTTAACTATCTCTTTCTAAGTATAAATGGCCGTTTTGTTTCCATTTTCTTAAAACCTCTTCTTTGCTCACATGTTCCATCTATGGTATTCTTAGCATCTTGCCTCAAGAATCATCTTCATCTACAATGTAATTGTCTAGCATTCACAGCCATATAGAATGATTGGCGTGACATAGCAATTCAGCTTTTTTTTCAATTCAATTTTTGTTTCTAATGATATGTTTCTGTTAATCATTTTTTGGAAAATTTCTCTATAAATTTAATATGGATGTGTGAAAACTTATACAAAAACTGGAAAAATGCAATAAAAACTTACACAGACATACCTTGTTGCTTGATTTCAATAAAATATGTTTGTATATATATATATATATATATATATATATATATATAAATATATATATATATATATGATGATGATGGATTCTCCCATTGTTTTTGATGTATGAGTGTCTTTCAGTTCAGTTTTTATGTTTATGTTTCATATGAGACAACAATCCTGCACGGGATTTGCCAATAAGTCCACACAAAGGGCATACTGAAGGGTTGACCATCACATGGGCTGATGTATTAGGCCAAGATTTAGTGTTAATTCTTAATTCTCTCAGATGGTTAAGACAATTCTTTTCAAAGTTAGTTATACCTCGGTAGCAGGTATTTCTCCAGTTTTCTCATTTTTCAACAGCAGGTTCAAACTCTTTTAAAGGGATGTTTACTGCAATTGTATTTAATTTTGTCCTTGAAGTATAACCAAGGACAGCCTACATTACACTTGCTATGAAAAAGTTGGTTATACATGAGGATTTTTGGCATCCGATCATCACTCATTCTTATGACATGACCAGCCCATCTGAATTGTGATTGCATCAGAAAGGATTTGATAACACTGATGCCACATTTGATGAAAAGATCAGGGTTAGAGATTTTGTCCTTCAGTGTGTATATATATGTGTGTGTGTGTGTGTGTATGTGTGTACTCCTAAATGATAGAGTGCTAGCAGGAACACCAGACCATATACAGCAGCAACATTCGAAGCATGGACGACTGATAGGCTAGTAAATATGTAAGATACCTTTGGATGAGTAAAATTATCTAAAATGGCACAGTGAACCAACATTCCTGGCAGCAGTCATATAAAAGTGACTGAACCAAGATGCCAGGTAAGGACCAACAACATTGCCAATTCTTTGTATTTTATCAAGAATCTCTAAATTCATAGTAGAAGTCTAGTCTGCTGCATTCACTTTGAACTATTGACCTTGGAAAAGGCATGAAACCATTTCTTCTAGTAGATAATTTAAATGTATAGAATTATTTGGTAAATTAATATGCAACTGTTGTATAAAGATAGTTATAATAAATACCAAACAATCAATATAAAATGTCAAAAATACCAACCAAATACCAATACATCCATACAAGATGTTACTAATACTACCAGGAGATTAATACATAATTATATTAAATCCAAATTAATCTTACAGATAGAAAGATAAGCTATATATAGTGCAATGCAGTACAACTAAAATATAAAAAAAAGCATAATCAAATTCAAAAATTTAACTAAATTGTATGGTAAAAGGTAAACTATGTGTCAAATTTACTGTTAATCCATTTCTTTGATTTAATAAATTTAATAAATTTTTATTGAATCTGATAATTTCATCAGTTCAATTATGTGACATGTGTGATACCACACTTTAACGCAGTTTTGGGAGGTTTCTTCTTTCAGCCTCCTCCTCATGAAATGAAATGCATGCTCTATTGGGTTATGTTCCAGTGATTGACTTGGCCAGTCTAAAACTGCCCACTATTTCCCTGATGAAGTCCTTTGTTGTGCTGGCATTATGTTTTGGGTCATTGCCCTGCTGCATGATAAACTTCCTCCTGATTAGTTTGGATTGATTTCTCTGTAAATTGGCAGACAAAATGTTTTTGTAGAATTCTGAATTTATTCTACCACTAGCATCATGAGTTACATCATCAATAAATAGAAATGAGCCTGTTCAGCCATGCAAGCCCAAAGCAAGACACTGCCTCCATCATGCTTCACAGATGAATTTGTACGTTTTGGATGATAAGCAGATCCTTTCTTTCTCCACACTTTGACATTTCCATCATTTTGGTAGAGATTAATCTTGGTCTCATCCATCCATGAAACTTTCTTCCAGAACTTTTGTCACTCATCTCTGTACTTCCTTACAAATTCCAATCTGGCCTTCCAATTCTTATCTTGTGGTATGGCCTCTATATTCCTGCTCTCAAAGTCTTCTTCAAATGGTGGATTGTCAAACCTACACACCTACACCCTGGAGGTTGTTGGTGATGTCACTGACTGTTGTTTTGTGGTTATCCTCACAGCTTTAACAATGTTTCTGTCATCAACTCTTGTTGTTTTCCTTGGCTCAGCCTGTTCTATGTCTGTTGTTCAGTACACCAATAGTTTCTTTCTTTTTCAGGACATTCCAAATTGTTGTGTTGACTCTGCCCAATGTTAGTCCAATTTTCTTTCTTTTCTCAGCTTCAGAATGGCTTGTTTTTTCCATAGACAGCTCTCGTTTTTGTGATAGTTTATTCTTTTTAACAAGAAATGTAGTTTTTACAGGTGAAATCCAAGGCTAAAACCAAGAGTAGTCATTCAGAGGTATTTAATGTTGAAACAATCAATCTAAAAGGCAACAAGTCAGCAAAAAGAAACTGCTGTCAGTTATGTGTTCCAATAATTTTGCTCACTTGAAAAATGGGTGGGTTCAAACAAAAGGTGGTATATCCTAAGTTGTTTAACACACCTAAATGTACATACCAGGAAATAAAAGCTGAAATTTTCAACTCTTGTCTCATACACTATAGTTCAAAAGTTTGAAGCCACCACCAGAATTAGCATAGGATGAACTTGACAGAAAAGTAAAACAAAATGAAAAAGAGCTCTTAGAGTTAGAGTCAAGAATGAAATCAATTATCAAAATTATAATCTGAGAAATTTTTGCAATGAATACTAAATATTTGTGCTGCAGTAATCAAGGCTAAAGAAGGATATTTTGTTGAGAGCAAAATTTAATTATAACATGTTGTTTTTTTTCCATAATAAAATTTCCAATAAAAAATCATGTCCCACTTTTTAACCATGTATAATAATTTTCTATTATTTAAAGAACAAAACAACTACTTTTTGAACTAATTTAAAAAATTAACAGGGGTTTCCCAAAACTTTTGAACATTAGTGTACATCTTTTGATCTTAAACTCATCAAATGTCTTCAGTGAACAACAAAAAAAAAGGAATTGTCCTTGGCATCATAATGCTTTCGGAGGGAACTATATTTATATATATATATATATATATATATATAAGTATTAGATTTTTTATGTGAGTACTTGTTCTTTTACTTGTTTAGCTATTGACTCAATTTGATTAATACATTAAATGTTGTCTTCTGTATGAGACAATTATGCTGCAATGGATTTTAAGGAATGGTATCCAAGCTAGGTCATTGGTATTGAACATCTACTTAAGTAATGTTGAATAGATGGGTGATCAACAAAGAAAAAGAGTTCATTAAAATAAGGAATGACTGATGAAGCTTGTCAGAAAAGCATCAAACCTAATTAATTACATATATTTCAGTACATGTGTGTGTATATTGACATTTCCTTGGATATGACTTTCATATTGGAAGATTAAATGACAACAAATCAGTTATATATATATATATATATATATATATAGAGAGAGAGAGAGAGAGAGATGGGCACATGGATGCATGCATGTGAACACATACGCTATACTTGCACTATTTACATTATTCGGACTATTGTCCTCATCTTTGTCACCATATTTATACCAA